GGGACATGGAGTCTCCCTCTGTTGCCCAGGCTGGAGTGCAGTGGCGCGATCTTGGCTCACTGCAATCTCTGCCTCCTGGGTTCAAGCAATTCACCTGCCTCAGCTTCCCTGAGTAGCTGGGACTACAGGCGCACACCACTATGTTCAGCTAATTTTTTTTGTATTTTTAGTAGAGACAAGGTTTCACCATGTTGGCCAGGCTGGTCTGGAACTCCTGACTTGAGGTGATGCACCCACCTCCGCCTCCCAATGTGCTGGGATTATAGGCGTGAGCCACCGCACCTGGCCACAAAGGATGTTTTAAAAGATAAAAATGAATATTCAGATGAAGAGGCGAATAGGGCATGGTCTAGAAGGGTCCTGAGCACAGTGGCTTCTGTCCCCATGGAGTTGGGGTGCAGCACTCTCCTGGCATGTGGACATGTTCACCAACCTGGAAGGTCTCTGAACCCCGAGCTTCAGGGATTTTTATGGAGGCTTCATCAGGTAGGCAAGTTTGATTATAAACTCAATCTCCAGCCCCTCTTGTTCCTGGGGCTGAAAGTTCCAGGCTTCTAAGCCTGGCTTGGTCTCTCTGGTGACCAGCAATCCTCCAGGAGCCCATCCCGAGTAGCTTCATTAGAACAAAAGATACTCCCATCACCCAGGAACATCCAAGAAGTTAGGAGCTCCGTGTCAGACCCGCCCATCACTCAGGACATTACCAAGATCTCAGGCGATCTGTGTCAAGAACCGGCATCGAGGACCAAATATTAGAACAAATGATTCCTAGTACCCCAATTTACAAGGGGTTTAAGAGCTCTGCATCAGGATCTGGGGGCAGAGACCAATATATACATTTCTTTTTATTTCAAAGGGGTCCAACCAGTCTGAAGTAGTAAATAAGTTCAAGTAACTCAGTAAAATATCCACATGTTTAGGATTAGTAGACAGTAAGGGCAGTAGCAGCCACCCTTTATTAAGGACTTCGTATGTGCTGAGTTACATGCTTTATACATATTTTTTGCTCATCATTACATAATTCCTATGAGTGGGGCTATTGTGCCCATGTTAGTGAGCCTTTGGGAGGTTTCCAAGTGAGTATCACAGATGGGATTTCAACCCAGCAATTTGATATCAAATCCCAGGCTTTGAACATGACTGCAACATGAGGTGCCTGGGACACCTTCCTATGTTGTCCCAGACAGCAAGTAGACATGCCTGGAAGCACTAATTTTAAACCAGCTTTAATGTTGACATCAGCCTGATTGACTGTTAGAATGTCCATGGCTTGCATAATTATAAATGCCCAAGGATGCTTGAAGATCATTTTCCAGGTGGCCCTAGGTGAGGTGTAGGTTGTGACACATTGGCATATTGGTAGTCCTCTGGCCTGGGCATGGCAGGAGGGTACTGAAAGAGTCCTAGCCTTGAACCTGTGGGCCCAGCTCACCACAAATTGGTTCTGACATTGGACAGATTACTTCTCTGGAGCCTCAGTTTCCTCATCTATAACCTTGAGGTGGGAGTGGAAGTGGACGTTCATGCAGTGTTAGTGTTTGAAGACTTGGGGGCTCCTTCTCAGGCCCTGTGGTATTTTGTCCCCAGGTCACTCTGATTCACTCCCAAGTGTCCCTGGCCGACAAGGAGCTCCTGCCCTCCGTCAGGCAGGAAGTGAAGGAGATCCTCCTCCGGAAGGGCGTGCAGCTGCTGCTGAGTATGTGCACCCTCACCTCTCTCCCTGCCCCGCCCCGCCTGGTGACTTGTGGCTTGGAGGCTTGGTCACTGCCTCCAGCAGGAGGGTGGCTACTGTCCACCCCAGCCTCTTTTTTCCACTGTGTCCTGGGGTTGAGCATGGAGCACTCAGAAATGGCCGTGAGCATCAAAGCCCACCTGAGCATCAAAGCCCACCTGAGCTTTGTCCAGCTGGAAGTTGTGCCCGTCCCCAGGAGGGCCTGGTACTTATAGGATTTCATTGTCCTTGTTATTGGTTTGGATGCAGTGCAGATGGTGGGTTGCCTGTCTGCTGAATGATTTTCTTAAGTGCATCTGAAGAATTTGCCCCAAATATGAAGTCTCTGTGGCTGAGGGAATAGGCTTATTGGTTTATGTTTTGAGAGTGGTGAGGAGTGTTGCTTTCGTGCAGAGCAGGGGACGAGACCCACTCAGCACATGCTGGAGAGTGGGGTTCTCTTCCAGCGCTGTGGCCTCCGCACTCACTTCATTGCATGGGGCCCTAGCCTCCCCGAGGTGTGCAGGAGGGTGAGGCGTCTGACCTGTGAAGGGTCCGCACGGCTGCCTCAGCCTCCTTGGGGTACCTGGCTGTGGAGTGCTGCCGTCACTGTCACTTTAGGCAGTGAGTGCAGTGAGCTGGCCCCTCTTTCTCTGGCTTTCCCCTTTGTCATGGTGCACTTGGAGCGCTCATCCTGCCTAGTTAGGATGGCATGGTTGGCACTCAAGAGGCACGTCTGAGGTCTCCCATTGAATAGCATTTCCTAGAACTTCTTGAGAAATAGCCTTGCTTCCCTCCAGGGGCTTCTTGGAACCTTTCTCCAGCTGGACCCCTCGGGCCAGATGTCCAGTTCAGCTTTGTGAGGCATAGAGTGGACTGAGGGAGGGGCAGGGTGGGAAGAGGGGGTGGAGCCACTGCCCAGTTGGGCCCCAGAGGTCCAGGCCCTCCCCAGGGTCAGCCTTGGCTCGAGGCCCAGGCTCAATGGGGTGCCTGTCCCCACCAGCCTCCTGGTCATGAAACCCCTTTCTAGGTGAGCGGGTGAACAATCTGGAGGAGCTGCCTCTCAATGAATATCGAGAGTACATCAAAGTGCAGACGGACAAAGGCACGGAGGTGGCCACCAACCTGGTGATTCTCTGCACCGGCATCAAGATCAACAGCTCTGCCTACCGCAGTGCGTTTGGTGAGTAAGTGCCCAGCCGGGCCTGCCCCATGCCTCCTCGGTCTCCAGCACCTTGTGAATTCCCTGTAGTGCCTGCCCCTAGGAGTCCACACCTCGCTGCCTATCCCCTTTCTTCCCAGCAGCTCAGACTTTAAATTCAGTGAGGGTCTACTCTTGCTGAGCTCTCCTCAGGTGTGACAATGTCTTGGCTCCAGGTGGCCAAGATGACTAGAATCTTCTGAAATTAGGGCTGCCCCCTAGTGGTAGGAGATGGGAATGGGCTCCAGAGACATGAGCAAGGTTGGTGTTCTGTTTCTTTCCCCCTCGCCTGGGTACAGCGGAAATTCAGGGTCAGGCCTTTCTCTCTTGGCAGGTGTGCCGCTGCCCCCAAATCCAGATCCAAACGTTTAGTCTCTTGAGCTTGGATTGACTGGGGAGTGGGGTTGATAACATGGCCTCATTTCTTAAAGCTCAGTATTTGTGTATTTAGCGGGCTGGAGGTGGCCAAGGTGGACTGATGTGTGTTTAAGCTTCTGTTTGTGAGTGGGAGACTCAGTGGCCAGGCCCAGTGGTTGCTTTGTGTCCTCAGGTCCCCATCATTTACTCCCAAATGCTCTTCCCTGACAAGGAGCTCCTGCCTTGTATCCAGCAGGAGGTAATGATCCACTCCCAGGAAAAGAAAGTCGGTCCAGGCCTGTGTAGTGATGGGATTGAGGGCTTATAATGGACAGAGATCCCAGAAATTAATACCTAATTGTCCTAATGTTGTGTTTTCAAATACAAGTTTTTAGAAAGTCCCTTTAAAAAAGCAGTTTGTCATTTATTAAAGCTCTGCATTTATTTTTAATGCTTCAGTTTTGTTTTTTATTTTTTGAGACAGAGTCTGGCTCTGTCATCCAGGCTGGAGTGCAGTGGTGTGATCTTGGCTCACTGCAACCTCCACCTCCTGGGTTCAAGCAACTCTCGTGCCTCAGTTTCCTGAATATCTGGGATTACAGCTGTACGCCACCAAGCCCAGCTAATTTTTGTATTTTTAGTATAGATGGGGTTTCATCGAGTTGGCCAGTCTGGTCTCGAGCTCCTGGCCTCGAGTATTCCACCTGCCTTGGCCTCCCAAAGACCTGGGATTTTATGTGTGAGCCACCATACCTGGCTTGCATTCGTTTTTAAAATCTCATCTGCATTCAAAAGTAAATTAAAGACTCAGCAAATCATTGTAACTTGCACAGAGTTATGTACATTGCGTTGACCCATTTCCACCCTGGCATCAGCAACCTTGCCTCTGTGAGGAGGAGACTTCAGGTGGGAATAAATTAGCTGGGCGGGTGGCCTCTAGAGGAGGCACCTCCAGGGGGTGGTCATGCCTCAGGAGGGTGACCTGACCAGCACCTATTGACCAACGCCTAGAGCTTGCCCTCACCAACTCCTGGTGACCACTTACCACGGCAGCTTAGTGCCTTTGTTTTGGTGTCATCTCTCCTGGCAGAGAACAGACTGGCTAGCAGTGGTGCTCTGAGAGTGAACGAGCACCTCCAGGTGGAGGGTCACAGCAACGTCTACGCCATCGGTGACTGTGCCGACCTGAGAACACCCAAGATGGCCTATCTTGCTGGCCTCCACGCCAACATCGCTGTGGCCAACATCGTCAACTCCGTGAAGCAGCGACCTCTCCAGGCCTACAAGCCGGGTAAGAGAGGCCCCATGTGCTTTGCAGTTTTAAGAGAGTTTTGGGTTAGATATGGGAAGCCTTTTTGGGCTATCAGATACCTGGCCACTAGAACAAGTTCTCCAAGCTGGTGACGGAAACATCCCTCTAGAGCTCTTTAAAAATAAATCAGAGCCTCACCCACCTTCCTAAAACGATTTCACATTTCCTGGCCCTGAGTCCGAAGGCCTTGGGAAGGATTGGTACTCTGGGAGGTGCAGCCCCAGGAGGTTCAGTGAGGTTCTGGTTGTTTCTGTGTCTCTGCTCGCAGGTGCACTGACGTTCCTCCTGTCCATGGGGAGAAATGATGGTGTGGGCCAGATCAGTGGCTTCTATGTGGGCCGGCTCATGGTTCGGCTGGCCAAGAGCCGGGACCTGTTCATCTCTACGAGCTGGAAAACCATGAAGCAGTCTCCACCCTGATGGGGAGGCCGGGCGGGAGGCGAGCTACTGCAGCAGGTGGGTGAATGGACTGCTGGGCGCATGGCACCCGCCTGGCAAGTGCTAGAACTAATGCTTTTCTTCTGGAATAAGATGCCAATGATGTGCTGGCCAGAAATGCAACTTGTATAAAACAGAAATGGGAGAGAAAGAGACATTAAACAAATTCCCCCTTAGAGGGTTCTTTCTGGGTTTCGAAGGTGTGCTTGTAGCGGTACCCGCCGAGGGGCTCATGCGTGCTGGCTGCATGGTACTGGGGAGGCCACAGCTAGCCTTCACGCTGTACCTGCTCCTCTGGGCTATGCATGCATGTGCATGTGTGTGCATGTGTTTGTGGCCATGATGTGTGTCATTTAGAGCTCTCAGAGCAGGGCAGAGAGCTGGGCTCTGGTAGCCAGTGTCTGTCTGTGACAGTAGGAAAGACAGCTGCACATTCAGAACAACGGAAGGACCTGAGGTGGAGAGACGCCCTGCACCCCAAACCTCTGCCATCACACAGTGGGGGAGCCCATACATTCTGCAACAACCAGGAAGAGTTCACAGGAGCCTCGTTTTCAACTCCTAACTGCTGCATATTCCCCATACTCCTTAAGCCTTGTGGCCTCGCTACATTGCCACTTTTGTTTGTTTATTTATTTTTGAGACAGTCTTGCTCTGTCACCCAGGCTGGAGTCCAGTGGGACGATCTGGGCTCACTGCAACCTCTGCCTCCTGGGTTCACATGATTCTCCTGCCTCAACCTCTTGAGTAACTGAGACTACAGGCATACGCCACCACGTCTGGCTAATTTTTGTATTTTTTTAGTAGAGATGGGGTTTCACTATGTTGACCAGACTAGCCTCGAACTCCTGACCTCAGGTGATCCACTCATCTCGGCCTCCCAAAGTGCTGGGATTACAGGCTTGAGCCACTGCGGCCAGCACATTTCCACTTTTAGATCCTAACTCCATGCAATAGGTTACATTTAAGAAGAAAGAGCTAGACAGAGGTTCCCTTCTGGTTATGCCACCCTGACAGAGTGTGTTTTTACACAGCTAGCAGGGTTGAGACTGCAGCCTGGCTTGCCGGCCACTGGAGGTGTTTAGGGAAGGGCAGACAATGTGACTCTTTGCGGGTGCCATCTGCTTACCCATTAGTGAACAGAAGGGGGTTCTGCGGGTGACCCTCAGCGTATTTCCAGGTTACTCATGGGCAGATTTGTAAGTGACAAAACTCCAGCTGATGCTGGGGACCGGGAGAGGGCCCCTGAGGGACTTTGTCGTTTTGTGCTTCTGGTTTCCTCACCAACCCCAGCGTCACTTGTCTGGAGGCCCAGCCGGGCACTAATGTCTGCCACCAACTATGTTATGGTATATAAATGGCTCCTCTTTGGGAGAGATCTTCCAATCCGAGGAGCCCCTCTTGGATGGCCTAGGTGAAATCTGTGAAGCAGAAGTGATTGGTGAGGTCATCTGAATAGATTCGGGCCCCACCTCCCCACCCTGCCCCTCCCTGCTCCCTTTTGATGGTGGCCTCTGGGTACTAGGACAGAGTCCTTGGGACACCAGTCTCCCTGGGGTTCTCAGCCCATCCCGTTGGGGCTGTTGTCCAGGCCTAAGTGAGTCGTGTGCCTCTCTCAGAGGATGGTTGTTCCCCCGGCAGCTTCGTCCAAGGATCTGTCTTTATGGACCACGAAGGGAGGCCCACCTTCCCGCTGGCAGGACCTGCAGCCTGGGGCTATGGGGCTATCTGACCTGGGGCCCAGTGAGGTGGGAATCCTGGCATGTGAGTGACAGGCCTTGTTCTATTGACTTACAATATTCTAGAGGGACCTATGCGTGGGGACACAGTTTTCCAAGTGGAGGAAAATGTTGCAATAAAGGAATATGTTGTAAGAAAGACACTGGATCTTTTATTTTTTCCTTTCATTTTCTTTTTCTTTAAAAAACAAAACGAAACCAAAAAAAGCCTGAAGCAAAATCTTTTTAGGAGTAGTTACAGATATTATAGGGGTGGGGGCGGGGGGCACTAAAACAAAAGAGAAAAGCACCAGTGAGATCTTTCCTGTTTTCTTCTCTCTGCCACGGAACACGCACACCAATAGAGCCCAGGTCACGTTTATGCCCTCTTCCCTTGGAAAAAGGAGGAACAGAAGATTTAATAATTTTGAAAGGATTTTTTCTTGTGTGAGTGTGTGTAAAAGTCAATGCTATAAATCTAAAACGAGGTCTGTTTTTTTAAAAAAGTTCTAAAACAACAGGAGAAAAACACATGGACAGAAACCCCTCGCGGAGATCTGCTTCCTTATGGATGGAGGCTCTTTTGGAGGAGAGTGTGAAGGGCAGAGGGCTCCCTGCGCCGGCAGGACCTGCCCCGCCCTCTACTCCCCCGCCGCCACCCATCCTCTTTCCTTTTAAAAAGCAAAACCCCACTCTCGGGACCCAGGGGCGTCCTCCGATGCCTGCTGGAAAGTGCGGTGGCTACTTGGCATCGAGCTTGGCCATCTCCTGCACGTAGATGCCGATGCTCTCGCTGTCGAAGAGCAGGAAGTACACGTTCTTCAGCGAGGATGCGCTCGAGTCGTCAAAGTGGGCTGAGATGGCTTTGAGGGTCACCTGGGCTGCGGTCTGTTTGGGAAAGCAGTTTCTGTGCCAAAGCAAAAGAAGAGCTGACGTCATTTTGGTCCCTGGGACCCATGGGAGCATGAAGTGCCTTTGTTTTTACGGAGTGGGGCCTGGCTGTGTGCAGGGCTGGTCCATGCATGACCTCCTTTGACCCTAGCCAAAGGGACAGACAGGGTGGCCTGGAGGGGGCCATGTTGCCCCACTTTATAGGTGTCACACTTACTCGGAGAGATACAGTGATTTAATTAACTAATTCATTTATTTTGAGATGGAGTCTGTCTCTCTCTGTCACCCAGGCTGGAGTGGTGGCACAATCTTGGCTCACTGCAACTTCTGCCTCCCGTGATTCTCCTGCCTCAGCCTCCCAAGTAGCTGGGACTACAGGTGCATGCCACCACACCTGGCTAATTTTTATATTTTTAGTAGAGATGGGGTTTCACCTTTTTGGTCAGGCTGTCTTGAACTCCTGACCTCAGGTGATCTGCCAGCCTTGGCCTCCCCAAGTGCTGGGATTACAGGTGTGAGCCACCGTGCCCAGCCAAGCACAATGATTTTAGTCAAGGTCATAGGGCTGGCGAAGTGAAGGGTGCGCTGTATTTTATTTTTTATTAAAATTTTTTTAATTAGGTTTTTTTAGAGGCAAGGTCTTGCTTCGTCACTCAGGCTGGAGTGCAATGGTGTGATCAAAGCTCTCTGCAGCTTTGAACCTCTGGGCTCAAGCTATCTGCCTCCTGCTTCAGCCTCTAAGTAGTTGGGACTATAGGTGTGTGCCTCCATGCGTGGCTAAATTCTTTTTATTTTTAATTTTTTGTACAGACAGGTCTTGTTGTCCAGGGTGGTCTCAAACTCCTGGCCTCAAGTGATGCTCCTGCCTCAGCCTCCCAGAGCTGTTGGATTTACAAGCGTGAGCCACCGTGCCAGCTCCCTGTATCTGAATCTATGTCACCTAATCAAGTCAAGCTTGGCTTTAAAAATGCTAGCCATTCAGCATTAAAAATGGCTGGTTTCAGAAAAGTAAACAAATTTTATTAGCTCCCTCCAAACTGGTTCATATGCTAACCAGATTGCTTAGTAAAGTACAAAAATGTATGCTCCAAAACCTGTCTTCATAAATCCTTTTTAATGCACTTAATATTTCATAGGCACAGCCCCATGTCATTTCAGCATTGTGACTCTGGGTGGGTTGATGAAAGTTTGTTAAAGGCCTCAGGTGCCAGGGAGCTATTGATAGTGCCATCCACCAGGCTGGGCCACAGCACCAGCTTCTGGGGACACAGCCAGGGTGGTCGTTAGGGGTCAGCCACAAAGACCCCTGGGGCAGGTCCAGTAGGGTGCCTGTTAATAGGGATTCTTCCTGCTTATATGTAGTCAGCACAGAACAGCATTGCCATGGTCCCACTGATGAATGAATGCATCTCACAGCATCTCTGGGCCTGGACAGTTGAGACTCAATGCTGCTGGCCTAGGTTGAGATATGATTTCAGCAGGAACCTAGATCTCATTATTGTCCTCTTGGCCTTCCCAGATCACAGCTATAAACCATAGCTATATTATAAAGGGGCAGCTCTCAAGATGAGAGGGTGTTCAAAATTAAAGCAACGGATTGGCTAGGGGCATGAAGGGAGAGGATACGTTGTATGTGAGAGCAGATATCCTTACTACTTATCTGAAACAATGGCCAGCTGGGATCTGTGACAATCCAGTCATTCCCCAACCTCCTCTTCAGCAATCCCTTGGGGACAGACTTTCATTTCTCTGGGTGCATTCATCAAAGCCTCGAACTCCCAGAGCAGCAACGGAATTCCCTGGGGACTCTGGAGCCAGAGGTTGGAGATGGGAGGCCTGAGAGTCTGCATTCTAACCTCGGTCACCGCTGCCTGCCTATGGACCACACTTTGAGTAGCAAGGCCTTTGAGCCTGCTGTTTTCTGATCATGTGTCCTAGACATGGACAGCTGGTGGGAATATGGACTTTGAACCTGGAAGGCTCTCAAAAAACGCACCAGCTTGCCTCTTCCTCCCGCTCCTCCCCTGGGCTGCCTTCCTCTCTGGGCTTTAACATCAAGGAGGCAGTGGGGCTGGCCCCAGCCAGGGAAGACCTGCTGCCTACAAGCCAGTGGGCTTGCTTCCCCGTGGGTTCTGAAGGATGAAAACTGGGTTTCTTGTCACCTGGTCAGCATGCTTGGCTGTGCTGGCAGCCCTTGGTCATATCCAGATCAGATGTAAGTAGGGGGGAAGCTGATTTCTAGGGAAAAGGCTGGAAGAATCAACTCAGGGGAACTTCATCTTTTTTTTTTTTTTGAAATGGAGTCTCGTTCTGTCATCCAGGTGGGAGTGCAGTGGTGGGATCTTGGCTCACTGCAACCTCTGCCTCCTGGATTCAAGCGATTCTCCTGCCTCAGCCTCCTGAGCAGCTGGGACTACATGCCTGGCTAATTTTTGTATTTTTAGTAGAGACAGGGTTTCACCATGTTGGCCAGGCTGGTCTTGAACTCCTGACATCGGCCTCCCAAAGTGCTGGTATTATGGGCATGAGCCACCGTGCCTAGTGGGGACTGCATCTTACCTGCCGCTGGGGAAAGGCGGGAACGCGACGGACTTTAGTTTCTTGTCCTCCGCTGCTGACAGGCAGTTTTTGATGGTCTCTTCAAGTTGTTCTTCACATTTGTCGGAACCCCACTGAGGGATGTGACAGTGGATGACAAATTTGGCTGCGAGTCCACTGGATTGGCTGACGGCGGCTGGGACACAGGAGAGAAAATGCCGTAGGTTATTTCCTAAGGTTTCCTAGGTTATAGCCTAACCCCATTGTGTACCCGTTAGATCTGTGGGAGACAAGGCGGTGAAAGAGACGTTGGCTGGGCAGCATCCCGTGCTTCTGATGTGGACTGTGTTTAACAGAACAAGAGCTGGGTCGGATCACTTTGCACAGTTAGCACAGCTCTGGGTAGAAGCGATCACATCACTTTCATATGGTCGGCCAACTAGTGCCTGGGCTAGGCTGCCTCCTCACAATGGTTCCTAAAGGGACACATCACATCCTCTGTGGTGGCTGTGGTAGGTAAAGTGATGGCATCCCAAAACATCCACATCCTAATCCCTGGAGCCTGTGGGTGTTCCCTTACATGGTGAAAGGGACTTTGCAGAGCTGATAAGTTCAGGATCTTGAGATGGGGAGATGATCCTGGACTGTCTGGGTGAGCCTGGGGCCTCATAAGAGGGAGGCAAGAGGGTCAAAGGCAGGAGAAGGCCGTGTGATGATGGAAACAGGCATTGGTGCGATGTAGCCAGGAGCCAAGGAGTGCTGCTGCCTAAACGCTGGAAAAGGCAAGGGAGGGACCCTTCCCTGAGCCTCCAGAAGGAGCCAGTCCTGCCAACACCTGGATCTCAGGCTCCTAAAACTCACTGTGGACTTCCGGCCTCCAGAACTGTAAGAAGATAACTTTGTGTTGTTTGAAGCCATGGACTTTGTGATACCTTGTTACAGTAGCCACAGTAAATGAATACAGTGGCTTTTTTTTTTGTTTTTATAACTTTTTTGAGTTATAACTTGTTTTATAACTTGTTCTGTCACCCAGGTTGGAGTGCAGTGATGTCATCTCAGCTCACTGCAATCTCCACCTCCTGGGTTCAAGTGATTCCTCTGCCTCAGGCACCCCAAGTGCCAGGATTACAGGTGTGAGCCACCACACCTGGCCTATAGTGGCTTTTAAAAACTAGACGTGCCTGGGCCCCACCCCACAAGCTCCTGACTCCGTAGGTCTGGTGTAGGGGCTTACGCTTATGTGATTTCAGGACCTTCTATGAGTTGAGAACCACAGAACTTGATTATATAGTTCCTTGGACATGGATTGCCATTTGATGATCTCTACATGCCCTGCAGAGAGCGAGGTTTCAAAAGCAGGTTGTGAAATTGAATTAGGCCAGCCTTGTCTCAGACTTTCAATCATACTCCTTTGTTTTACTGTTTACTCCCCTAAACATGGTTCCTATTGGTGACAGAGTTGATAAGCCCCTTGGCTGCTAAGCTGGAAGTCCCTGTGGCCGTTGGTCCCCAGGGGAGCAGTTCTCTTGGATCTGCCTGGGCTAGCTGCAGCTTCAGCCACCAGCCGCGTGCCTCCACGCCGCCCTGCGCCCTGCGCCCTGCGCCCTGTGCCTCTCCAGGAACCCAGGAACCGGTGTAGCAAGGGTCCGTGGCCACTAGGGGCAGTGCTTGTAACAGAAATGTGTGTCCACCGTATTTCAGAGCTGTGTGTGGGGTTGGAGCGAAAGATGG